TAATGTTAAAAAGTAAAATGGCATAAATGACTATAATGCTCATCCAGAAATAAGAATCACTGAGGTCTCTCTTACTAGCGATACTTTAAATCTAGAAGCTGAGGCAAAAATAGGTGAAGCGATATGACCCAACTTTACTCAGTACATAAATGGAAAAGCAGCCTTTCAAACCCAGGTGAGTCCAATACGAAGTCTGTTTCCTTCTGACCACCCATGCTACCGACCCGTTGCCTATTCAGGTCGGTGTGACCACGGTGGGTGCGAACATTTGCGTATCAATGTAGGCAAGTTTCTTTCAAGTCTAAGTAGGTATACAAGCCTGGCCCCAGAGCATTAGAGCAGTTTCTATCCAGCTGTGCCTGCTAAACGGTGAGGCATGGGGTACTGAACCCAGCCCACAAACACTGACAGAATAAATGAATAAATGTACATAAAAATAAATGTCACCAAACAACAGCGATTCTGGCTGGAATGTTATTTCAGGTTTCTTCATGTCTATAATTAGCTGGGAAACAGTGATCTTTCTACTTCAATTTCATTACTTTTGCATCCTTTTCTTTTATCTAGACCAGAAAAAGAAACAGTTGCTAATTTGGGAGCTGTTGCCAATTTGGGAAGAAATTTAATTCCATTACGTATGTGCTCACAGGTATTCTACTGTATTAAATGTTGCCACCAGAGAACTGTAGAACAGGAAAGGTCACATGGTTTAGCCCTGAAGCTTGAGGAAAACCTCTCCCACAACTGTTCTAGGGTTTTGGAAGTCACTGCCTTGCTTTCAGTACCCTCCAATATCAGTCCTCAAATATCAATCCACATGGCAGCAGGAAGTCCCAGCTTTGCAGGGCAGTTTTGGTTTTACATAGATGCCCTAATGTCCCCATAAGCTAGGGTGATGCTGGTCTGCTTTATCCCTAATGTTATGTCATCATTATTAACAGCAGCCACTTTCACCCTCAAAAGTGTCTTGGTTTAGACAACGTATTACATGGTCACACTTCCTAAGCCCACCAGCATTTATGATAGGCACTCTAAGTTTTTGTTCAAAAAAACCTAATTCCACTCTTATTTCCATTTTCCTCTGACACATGCTCTTTGGTGAGCTCATGCATGGCTCATGATTGCCACCTCCTTTGTACAGAGCTTGACCCACCTGTGAGTTTGCTCATGTTCCTCTTCCCTTTCTGAAATGTTCTCCTTCTTCAAACCCACTTACGTAAATCTTACCCATCTTTCAAAACTGAGCTCAAACCCCATTTCCATGAAGCTGCCTGTCTGCTTCAACCCACACTGACTTCTTCCTTCTCTTAACTTCTACTTGTGACATTTGCTTTGCTAAAATAGGGAAGGAGTGAAAGGCACTTCGTAGATGATGGAGTCATGCCTCCCCTGAGCACACTCTGCCTGTACTTTTTAAGGAGAATGCAGGTAGTACCTGATTATGGTAATTTGGTCCCAGGCCCAACAAGGAGGCTTTCTTCAAATGCGGTTCATTAAATTAGAATATAAATATATAATCTACTTATACATACGTTTTCCCCCCAAAAACTGTTGTTCTAAGAAAACAGCAAATAGATCATTTAAACTAAAGACTCCCCTGGAGACTTCTGTGTCTGACCTCTTCCCCAAAGCAGCTGTGCATCCCCAACTACAGCATCCTTGAAAGATAGCCACCCATGTTAGCCACAAACACACATTCCTCCCGTCAATCTCTCCAGACACCTTGTTCTCTTGCTGGGAAGCTCAGGCTGACAAATTTATTTCTTATCATACAGTATTTCTCAAAGTTAGCTTTGCGGACCATCTGCACCAGAATTATTTGAGGTGCTTGTTAAAAATGCAGACTCCCAGCCAGGTGTGGCGGCTCATGCCTGTAATCCCAGCACTTTGGGTGGCTGAGGCAGGTGGATCACCTGAGGTCAGGAGTTCGAGACCAGCCTGGTCAACATGGTGAAACCCCATCTCTACTAAAAATACAAAAATTAGCTGGGTGTGCCAGTGTGTACCTGTAACCCCAGCTACTCAGGAGGCTAAGGCAGGAACCCAAGAGGCGGAGGTTGCAGCGAGCTGAGATCACACCACCGCACCCAGGCCTGGGCAACAGTGTAAGACTATGTCAAAAAAAAAACATTGCAGATTCCCAAGTCCAACTCCAAGTATACTAAATCGGCATTTGGAACAGAGGGAAATAGGAGTATGCATCGTTAGGTTTCCCAGGTGAAGTTTATTTATTGTTATAAAGTTAAAATCGGTGGATTCTCTCTCTTTGACTTTTACATTTCTAACAACAGATAGCAACTCACTTTTCTTTTCTTCAAAGTAACTCTTCAAATACTGGAAGTCATCTCTCTGCCTTCCCTTCTAATACTCGGTTGTAGCCCATGTAATCTAACATTTCTTTACAACGAGCTTCCATCCGCTGAGCCAACCTGGACACCCCGCTGTGGGTCCTCTGCTGCTTGCCAATCTCGCTCTCAAAATGGGATGCCCAGAGATGACATGTGCCTCACAATTCGAGGTGAAAAGTGAGACTAAGAGGATTTTCAGTGCTTTTAGTACACACTGTCAATTTTGTGAAGGACAGTGTATCCACCTACACTCCTGGCAGCTGATGATGAAACTGCCCATTTCAGCCTAAACCAACCAGCAATAAGTATTGCCATTTTATAAATCTTTGCAAATTTAATAGGCACATGAAGTTGACTCCTGAGTTGTTTTAATTGGGATGTCTTTGTTTATACTTTTCAGATATTTATTGGCAACTGGTAGTTGTTTTATAAATTTCCTGTCCTTGTCCTTCCTGGTTTGTTGTTGTTGTTGTTTTGATTTTTGTTTTGTTTTTTTGCCTTTAACTCATTATGTTGCTGAGCCAAGTAAGTCCTTTCTATGCATCATCTCATCAAATCCTCAAAACAGCGTTTCCCCCACTTTATAGGTAAAGAAACTGAGCTCTAAAAAACTGATAGCAGTTAGGTCTTCAGCTTCCTCACTGATTTATTCCTTCATTTAATCAACATTTTTTAGAGAAGAGTTCTTCATCTTTCAGACATTTTGTAAAATTAGTTAATAGGGTCAAGTACCTGGTATGAAATTATTAGGAAGGTTCAGAAAGAAACAGAATGTTCCCAACTCTGTTTCCTCCTATTTCTACCTAAAATTTCCTTTATTATCTTTGCTTCTTTTCCTAGCCTAAAGATATTAGTGAACAAGTAAGAATGTTCAGTAGATAGCAATGTTATTTACTGATACAAGGTTGAAGGAGGATATATGTACCTGTTTATGTATTTGTCAAGAGAGGTAGCCATCCCCAAGAAAAGTAACAGAAAGGGATTAAAGAGAGCAATTTGGAAATCAGGCATAACTTTGTAACAAATCATAGTCCATCAGTAGAAATTGTTCAAAAGTGTATATGTAAGTAATACTGGCTTTCATTTTTTCCATTTTATGTCATCTTACATCCCAAGACCAGTGTTTATGCAATTAACTAACACTCTAAAGTTAATTCATTCTTTATAGCATTTTAGTCCAAACAGCTGAGCTTCTCATGGATTTGGCTAATTTAATCAAATTCCATGCAATTATACTTTAATTAAAAATACATATGCATAAAGTTGAAATCCTGATATTTAAATCAATTCAATTTGCAACAAAATTAGAAGAGATGCAAATGATTAATTACAGGTTGAGAAGCAAAATTAAAAATAATTCAATTCTACTCTCTTTTTTAGAAGGTGGCCAAGGCTCAAAGGTCATGAGTTCTCAATGTCACACAGTAAGCAGTAACACTAAGATTCAACTCCAGGCTTCCCGACCTCCAATCCGGAACCCGTGCATCTGGGCCTTCCCCTGACATTTATTCACAATGTCACTGAAGCAGACCCAGAACTCTCCCCAGAACTCTCAAAACTCTCCAAATGAAACTTATAAACTAGGGATTAAAACAGTTAAAGCAACGAAAAAGGTCTTAGTTCTGGGGCTTTGTGCTTTCAGGCAGTCTGCTTAAAATCCTTGGGAGCCATACACATTCTTCTATAAGCTTTGATGGAAATTCGATTTATTCCTTATTAGCTATTAACAAAAACATACTCATTTGCAATTTCAAGGCCCTACATCTTGCCACAAATATTTCTTTCACATAATAAACAAATATATTACAAAATGAATAAATTATATAAATTAGGGTGCTCATTTTCCCAAATAAGAAGGAATACATCTTTTCTTTCTTCTTTACTATCCTAAGTTTCCTATTACTCTGTTTGGACCAATCATTTAAAACTACACACAAACTTTAAGTTCAGTTTCTCAACACTATAGTTTTGATTTCTCCACAATGCACCACCTGGCAACCACACATTCCTCACAACATAAAGAGAATTTTAACCCTTTAAATAGATTTTAACCCTTTAACCCTTCTAAAGAGGGATACAAAGCAGATTTTAAACAACAAAAGCTACTCCAATTGACCTGACTGTTGATTGGTTATATTATTTCTAGAACTGGATCCTCTAGAACTTAGTCTGGATTATTTGCTAGCCTACACCACTCCCACCACAGGTGTTTCACTCTCTTTCCACCTTCACCCACCAGTAAAGCCCCCACTAGGGTCACCGCCCTACAGACAGAGCTCCCTCCTCCACACACAGGCCTTGGGCCACCCCAACAACCCCATAAGCAGACATTACCTCATCCACATTGACCCTCTCCCCCACCACCAGCAGACAAAAACTTACCCTAGGCATCACTCTAAAGTAACACATTACACCAAGGTCTGGCCTACATAATTGAATCCTACAACCATTACAAGTGAGAACCTGAAAGTCATGTTAACTTGAAAAACTCTCTTTGTAAACCTTGAAAACATCCGGGAAGGTTTCCATCTCACAAGGACAGGCTTGTCCAAACCTGTCCTTGGAAATTTAGGCAAGGTGATTTCTCTGTTCATTCAGATTCACAGGTCCTCCCCAGCAAGACAGAGCCCAGAGCGTAAAGCGCACACTCACTGCAAATCTGACTTGGCAGTTCTCCTCTCCCAGGTAGCAGAGGTCTCCCGAGACGTTGGTCTCCAGCCACAGGTGTTCTCCATTCACGGCATTCTCCTGCAAGAAAAAGACCCACCTGGCATCAATTTTTTTTCCCCAGGGGTAAGGGAGACTAATTTAAGTTTGGGATACAAGAAAGTTAGTGAAACCAAGGAGTCTAAACATTTCTAATTTTATCCCTCAAAGTATTGCTAGAGTTGATTCTACCAAAATTCTAAAAAGGGAGAAAGGTGTTTGGAAAAACTTTGAGCTATAATTAAAATAGACATTGGGTTTATAGCTGATTTATCTATGGAGGTGGTCGTTTTTGAAACATATTCAACAAATGAGGAAGAAACACCTCTAAATAGTTTAATGTCAAACCTTATTCACTTAGGCTCACTATTGCAAATTTCATGACAATTGAGACTAAAATTCTATTAAAATGTGTCTTTGCTTAGCGAATAAACTTACGAATTAGCTAAATAGGAGGATGGTAGCATTAAAGTATTTTAAATAAAGATAGTTTGAAAACATGGTTATACCAGTAATAGGTAAATTATATTTCTAAGGGCTGAGGCTTCTTAAAACTTAGTTCAAGTCCCTGTGTACTCAAAGCATAATAAGTTTCTACTAATTCACATCTTACTAATTCAGTAAGGTCTTCACCCAATTACTTCTCCATTTTTCAAATTACATGTTACTGCTTCTAAAAATATTCATATACTTTGGATGGGGAACAGAGCTGCTAAAATGTACGACCGGATGAGCATCAATCCTATCTTCCAGAAATGTGTAGTGTGGTATTGGGAAAAGAGGGGAGTAAACTGGTTTTTTAATAGTATAATTAATAGAATTCCACATTCCTTCTTATGGGACACTACCTTCGAAATTATAGATTTAAATATTAATTGTATATTTTGGTCATTTGCTCAAAAGGGGCTCTAAGCTGTTAGGGAAAATATTGTATCAAATTAACTATAAAAAAACAAGACTAAGCCTCCATATCTTGCCCTTGTCTCCATGTCAAGAGCAATTATGGAAAATTGCTCTTGTTTTTATCTTATTCATCAGATAATGGGCATGTAATTATTTTTTATGGGGGATGATATGAACTAAATTGTGTCCCCTCAAAATTCATATGTTGGTTGGGCATGGTGGCTCACACCTGTAATCCCAGCACTTTGGGAGGCTGAGGCGGGCAGATCACTTGAGGTCAGGAGTTTGAGACCAGCCTGGCCAACATGGTAAAACCCCATTTCAACTAAAAAATTACAAAAATTAGCTGGGCGTGGTGGCACGCATCTGTAATCCCAGCTATTCGGGAGGCTGAGGCAGGAGAATCACTTGAACCTGGGAGGCAGAGGAGGCTGCAGTGAGCTGAGATTGTGCCACTGCACTCCAGCCTGGGTGACAGAGTGAGACTACGTCTCAAAAAAAAAAAAAAAAAAAAAAAATCTGGGTGAGATGGCTCACGCCTGTAATGCTAGCACTTTGGGATGCCGAGGCACACAGATCACGAGATCAGGAGCTCAAGACCAGCCTGGCCAGCATGGTGAAACGTCGTCTCTACTAAAAATGCAAAAAATTGGCAGGCATAGTGGCACATGCCTATAGTCCCAGCTACTTGGGAGGCTGAGGCAGAAGAGCTGCTTGAACCTGGCAAATGGAGGTTGCAATGAGCCAAGATCATACCACTGCACTCCGCCTGCACAACAGAGTAAGACTGTCTCAGAAAAAAAAAAAATCTTATGTTGAATCCCTCACCCTCAACGTGATAGAACCTGGAGATGAGACTTTGGGAAGTAATGAGGTCATGGTGGTGGAACCCTCATAATGGGATTAGTGTCTTTATAAGAAGAGACACATGAGAGATTCTCCACATGAGCGTGCCAAGGAAAAGCCATGTGAGCACACATCAAGAAAGCAGCTGTCTACAATTGAGGAAGAAGACTGTATACAGGACTGGAATCTGCCAGCACCGTGACCTTGGACTTCCCACCTACCAGAACTGTGGGAATTGAAGTCTGTTGTTTAAGCTACCAAGTCTATGGCATTTTGTTATAGCAGCCTGAGCAGATGACTTAAATAAGCAATTTTATAGAATGATTATGTAATTTAGAAACCCATCTCATACATAAGCCACTTTTATTATAACCTACTCCACAAGTGTCCACACCATAGCCCTCTGAATCCTAAAGCTTAGTACAGCAAAGCAGAAATATACATCAAATGGCCAGGCACAGTGGTTCACACCTGCAATCCCAGCACTTCAGGAGGCTGAGGCAGGCAGATCACTTAAGGAGAGGAGTTTGAGACCAACCTGGACAATATGGTGAAACCCTATCTATTAAACATACAAAAATTAGCCGGGCATGGTGGTGGGCACCTGTAATCCCAGGTACTTGGGAGACTGAGGCATGAGAATTGCTTGAAACCCAGGAGGCAGAGGTTGCAGTGAGCCAAGATCATGCCATTGCACTCCAGTCTGGGCAATGGATTGATATTCCAACTCAAATACACACACACACACACACACACACACACACACACCCCAAATGACATTTGCTGGGAAAAAAATACCAAGTGTCACCCACTTTTAAAATAAATATATTACTTCAGATTCAGATAGAACACATTTTCCTTTCAGGGCCTAGTGACTCAAACAATTCTGGGGTAAGAACAACCAAAATTTGTATTGTGACATGTGACCTAGCTGCTTCAGGATCCAAGAAAGGTGAGTCCAAGTCCTGGACCGCAGAAGTGAGTCAGGAAGGGACAGGAGAGGGTGAAGGTGACTAGGGATATAGGCGTCCAGGGCTCCAGGACAATGCACAGGGAGACCCTGGGTGGGAGTGCACCATCCACATCTCCTAGTAGCTCGAATCCATTCCTAAAGGGAGAGCAACACTGAACAGGGTCATTGCCCTGTACATCAAAGGGCGGACATCTGTTCACCAAAACAACTTCTTCTCTACAGGTAATTTTTCCCTGTTGCAAGTCATGTTCGATTTTTTTCAAGGAAGTCAAGGAGAAAATAAGCTTCACCTCACAGTCAGTCTCGTGGGACAACAGCAGAGGAAAGAGAAGCATAGCTATGGGTTCAGACCCTAAAAGTTTTCAGATAGTAACAGATGACAAGAACATTAAAAAATAAAGTAGAAAGGCACTTCTTTGCAAGATGTCCTAAACAAATCGGTCCACACAATCTAAAATATTCTACTACTGGAAACTTTTCTCCAATTCTAAGTTATAACCGTTTATACAGAATAATGTTTTTTTTCATTTTATTGTTCTACAATTTATTTGACAATCCTTTATTCAATACCATTGGTACCAGGCACTGAGACTCTGTATTCATCAACAGAGTTAAATCTACCAGAGAAGATGGAACTAAAAGCATAGTAGTAACAGCCAATACAAGGGAAACTACAGCAAAATCCGACCAACTATTTTAGAAAGTGAAGTCTAAAATGTAGCAGTGGGTAAAATGTCAAAACCTACTGATAAAGCAATGAGCTTTCAGCTCCAAGAAAGTAATCTCTAAGCCCGTGGAATGTCCTGCCTGATAAGAGTGTTTTTGTTTGTCTGGGGACCTTGGGCCATAGGGTATCAGCTTGACCCCCACAGGGGCTAGAGGCTAATGTCAACCAAATGGGTAGTCAACCCTGCTTACAGGACCAACCCCCAATTAAAACTGGACATCAAGGTTCGGCTTGGCACTGCACCATGTGTATTATAGCACACAGTGGCTGGGAGAGGTTAGCTAGTGAACCATGACTCTGCTGGGAAAGGGCTGTAATAAACCATAAATGTGAGCATTAACAGCTTTCAGGGAGTCCTATGAGTGTTTCTAGTGAGTTACTGAACCTGAATATGGACTTGGGGATTCCCAAACTTGAAACTGATGTCAGAAGAGAGGGTGGTCTCAGGGACTCTTGAATCCTCATAAAGGTGTCTAGCTTGGGTGGCATTAGCACAAAAATGCAGTAGACAAATGAACTATTTTTGCTTTCTTCCTACAGTTCTCATGAACCCTTCTCCAGCTCAATGTTAATCAACATGAGCTTTGGAGTCAGACTTGTTGCCTAATAGCTGTATGACGTAGGGCCCTTCTCACTTTGCCAAATCCTGTTTTTACTCATCAGTTACATAAAAACCACTGTGCCTCCTTTACAGGACTACAGTGATGTTTAAGCCCAATGTTCCGCATACAACAACAAGTTAATAGATGTTCATTATATTTATTATTGTTTTGCTGTTACTCTCTAGTTGCCCTTCTTCCTCCTAATCCACAGATATTAGCATTAACTACATTTCTCTCCTTGGTCTGTGGCCAAGTCTGTTAGCCATTTCTCAAAATAATTATTTCTCCCTTTGCTGGACACACAGTTAGACTTTATTTCCCCAGCCTCCCTTGCAATTACGTGCAGACATGTGACCAAATTCTGAACAGTGAAACAGAAGCAGAAATTCCAGACTTGTTCCATTAAATCCTCCCACATGCATTCTTCCACTCTTTTATCTCACTGGTCAATTGGGAAGTCAGCCTTTTGGAATCCTCTTGGTGAGATATCAGAGTGATCCTCAGCATGGGTCACTGAATAGCTGTGTGTGAAAGGGCCTGACTCCCAACCCAACCACCTGGAATAGTCTTGGTCTATGACATGGGTGAGACACAACCTCTCTTGTATTAAGCCATTACACATTTGAGTAACTGATGTCAGAGATAAGGTAGTCTTGAATTCTGCATAAAGGTGTCTAGACTGGGTGGCACTGGCACAAGAATGCAGTAGACATTTTATTTGCTGCGGAGCCTCATTTACCCCAATAAATGCAGGCCTCTTCCCTTTGCTTTTAGTTTTGTCTGGGTTCCTTTTCATTATCTGAATCTACCCCCAGTTACTCACTATAACGCTGGGCAGGGCATCTAATTTCGGAGTCATGGTTTCTTCTGCTCTGAACTCTGTCACCTTCTCTGATTTATTTTACATTAGTATAAACTGAGCTCTCCCCAAAAGAGAGCCAAGATTGTGCCTCTCCCTTGTTCAGAATGCTTAGACGTTTCCCTATTTATA